GTTCCCCAGTTTGCTCTTGACCATGCAAATTTGATCCATCTTTGAAATCCAATTCATAGCTTATCTGCCCTGCCCTCCTGACCTATTAGCTCATCTGTCCCGGCAACTATCAGTGTAGTCATTGGTTCTCGTGTATCACAAACTGCCTTGTTAAATGTGTTGAGCAGTTTTAGCTGTTAAAACCAGGACTTGGCTTACTGACGCAGGGTTTGCACCAGGGCAGTGCTTCATCCTGGCCCTTTCATGCTGGCCCCTTGGCATGGGGCAGACTGGGACTGAGGGCTGTCATTGCACCTGGGAGCCAGAGGTGAAGTGAGCAGCCAGAAAGACCTGCAGATCAGCTGCAGAGAGATGGCCGTGTGAGCTGAGTGACACAGGGAAACCCAGGTGGGCCCCGGAAGAGGGATCTTCAACAAGGTGGGGGCCTGAGGGACCGATGACCAAGGGCAAATTCTGGAGCCTGAGCGCAAACCCTCTGGATAGGCATCCTGAACTGACCCTACCCAGTCATCCTGAGCCTGTGCAGACACCCAATAGATCCCTGTAGGTCCCTGAAGGTTGGTAGGGACCATCTGAGTCAGGCCTGAGTGCATAAGGACCAAAGTGACTCATTAGCAGCAGGAGCCTTACAATGACTGGTATGGCCGAGGGCAGACTTGACCTTTCTCTGCTTGGGGCCCTTCAGTTCAGGGGCTTCCAATGACTGCCAGGTGGCTGCACCCACGATGGCCTCCTGCCCAGATTCACTCGGGCTTTGTCTGCATCTCTGCCAGCCTTGTTCACCCTGAGAAGGAGAGACTGGCTCTGTTCACACACGTCCCCCTGGAAGGGAATCCTGCTGGGCTCTCTGTCTGCCCTTGCCAGCCATGGGTCAGGTGTGGGTTACTTTGGACAGACGGCCAGCTCTCAACAGCAGCAGAGGGCAGAGGTGAGGAAGTGGAAGCTCACACAGCAGAGCCATGGTTCCCCAACTAGGAAGGGGCTGTGCTGGAAAGGGTCTGAGGGTTTGTCTGCTACAGTTACTACACCTGCTTTAGAAGACTCTTAACTCATCAGATGACTTACTGTGTGACTTTAAGCAAGTGCCTTCACTTCTCTGCTTCCCAGTCTCCTCATATGGATGACAATACTGCCTAACTCATAAGCCTGTTTAAGGATTCGAGAAAACGGCATACACGGAAGCTTCCAGAAGTCACTGGCATGTAGCCTGTACTGTTTAAGTGTTGGTATCATCATCAGCCTCTTCATCTCTAACCTTCTAGGTCTCCTGGTCTGCATTGCATCTAAATCATTTTACAGCAGTGAGGTACCTGGGGTCCTCATCTAGTCTCCAGATTGCTGATCTAGTTCACAGTGGTGCCCCAGTAACTCTCGCCTGTGCCACATGGGGGATTCAGATAAGTTGCCCTCTGACGGCAGTCATGGCTGGTGTCTGCTTCTGAAAGTGTGTAACCAGTTCTTTGGGTTTTCATTTTTTTTTCTACTGGAGACTTCAGATCTTAATCTTCTTTCATATCAACTGTGATTTTCTTCAATAAGTTCCCAGAGGAACTTATAAGTGGCCAGGTGCCTCCAGGTCTCCTCACCTTACCCATCATCGGTGAAATACAAGCCTTTTTGGTGCAAAGTGGTCAGTGCCAGTGGCTCAGGGGTGAGGGGGCAGAAGAGGGGAGACAGGGGTTCTCCTTGGGGAGTAACTGGCTCAGGGGAGCATCGAGGACAGATGCACAGATTGACGGATCTAAGGTACCTAAAAGAGACTCAGCTGGTCAGTTATTTATTTCAGCTTTCCTTGCTCTGTAACAGCTTCCAGAGAATCTGTTCCCCATTGACCCTTTGAAGAAAAACACTTGGCCTTGAATTTCTTTGTAGTCCCTGAACCAGCAGCAGTGATGGCAGTTGAGCCAGACCTTAAGCTAGTTTTCCCCCAGCATGTCCATTCAAAGGGCCGTCTTATTCCTTCATTGACTGTTATTGAAAGGAAACTTATGATCTCTGGGACCCAGATGCAAGTCCGTGTTGCTAGAGGGAGCACACAACAGCCCAGGGGCTTTGAGGCTGTCGGCAGTTTCTGTGAGGAGCCCGCCTCTCCCACTGCCGGGGTGTCTTTCAGATCTGCTATCTGTTCTTTTCACTACCTCCAGGTTGCTCTTACTTACCAGGATTTTGCATCCTGGAAACCCAGGAAACAGAGTTGCGGCCAGACACCCAGCCCTGAGCAGCCTGCTCCCCATTGCAAGCTGCTGCCTAGTCTGCTTGGCACCGGCTGCGGCTGGGCACCATGCACACTGCCCTGGTACCAGGCACAGAATACCTTCCATGCACACCGCCCTGGTACTAAGCACAGAGTACCTTCCACCTCTCAGCAATTTCCAGGAGCACTGGAATGAAGTCAAAGGTTCTCCCATGTCAGGACCAGTCTGAGGAGGTGGGGCATCCAGGGGTGTGCTTAGATACACTGGGGGTCATCAGGACACAGCTGGCATTAACTCAACAGCAATTCCTGGGTGCAGGGGCTGTCTCACTTCTTTCCCTGTGAAGCCTCTGGTATTTCTGTGCCCGTGAGGCCCCCCTCTTCCTTTTTACCATCCCCCCTTAATTTCCCTTCCTGCCCTCACCTGCAGTGGATGTCTGGATGTCTCTGCATCTTCTACATATTAAGCAATAAACCATAAGTCTGACTTAGGGCTTTTTTTTTTTTTTCCTTAGCAGTCTGCCTCTGTAGGACTTAAAAATGAAAGCTGATTTTCATAAAGATTGTATATAATTTGTCTGCCTATTGTGAACCCTGAGGACAGTGGACACAGAAGAGGCAAACCCTTGTAAACTGAGCTGGCTTAGAGACCTGGGCCCTGTCTGGGACGCAAATCCTGGGGGTCCTGCAGGGGTCCAGATTGAGGGAAAACTCTGGAAGCCTGGCCCGTGGAAAAGAAGAATATACAAAAGCAGGTGAAGGAGACTAAGGGAGCCTGGAAGAGTCAGTTGGGCAGACTGGGCTTCCCACTAGCGATTTCCATTGGGCTCCACAACTGGTCCCCCTTGACCCCCCCAAAGAGGAAGACCTTAGCCAGGCTCCTGGAGAAGGGCGTGCTAGGAATTGTTTTAACTGTTTTAGAGCAGGGTATCCAGGGTTAATGGCCCATGTGCAGTGGGTGTTTCACACTTCTGAAGTCCGCCATGAAGGGTCAGTGTGGGGCCCCCACGCCCTAAAGCCCTCAGCTTCTGGCTTCACCAGGGACTGCTGGCCCCGGACACTTGACTCACAGAGCAGTCTCCCTCACAGCTACCCTGCGCCTGTGGGTAGAGATCATGCGCTGGAACAGTGCAGTCTGGCCTTTGTGCTTCTTAATTCCCAGGGCCAGAGGCCAGAAGCTTAAAACAAAGGACACAGAAGCCAGCCCAGGAGTGAGTCCTCTGAGTGGGCGGTTTGCGTGCTGGCGAGGAAGGGCTGAGAGGGAGCTGCCGCCAGCCTGCCTGGCTCCTGCCCCTGGCTGAGGAGTCTCTGCAGGACCCTCAGAGTGCCCTTCTCCTTTGGATCACCGAGCAGTAAATGAGATGATTCCTGCTGACTGCCCAGAGCCGTCAATAACCATCCTAATCTCCCTGGCAGCCCCCAGAAGTGAATTCACAGTGACATGGTAAAAATGAGGCTGCATGATCAATGGATCCCTGGACGATCTCCTCCAGGAGACACAAATGTATATTGTAACAAAACTTTATTTTCTTTTGAAAATTGCCTACATGATTAATATGGCCCGCCACAGCCCAAGCTGTTCAGCATAAAAAACAGCTGTATTTCTGGCTCCCTCATCAGCGCTTCCCTCTCACGCCATTCCTTCATCTTGTTTCCTTTGTTTCGCTCACCAGCACATGGTGCTATATGTGGTGTTGTCTCGCAGGAGGAGGAGAGAAAGTACTGCGATGTTCCAGCTCCCTCTTCCATTTGACTTGCTTCTGCCTGAGGTTTCCAGTGTGGCTGGGACTGCGCAGAAAATCCAATGTGTTGGTGTTCTCGGGACTAATGCCGATACTCCCAGAGCTCCCTGGACAAAGCCGCGTAGGGCCCAGCCCCTGGGTGCTGGCCAGCTCTCCTGTCACTGGGGGCCTAGAGAGGCCAGTGCTCGCTGCCAGAGCCCAGCTAAATGAGCTGATTTCCCCTCCACCATGTCTTCAGCATTTGGGGAGCTGCTGGAGGTCAGAGGTTAGAACTCCCCAGACAGGTGGAGACTGTCTTGCCCCAAGGAGACTCTGGAAGCCTTGCAAGAAGTGTCAGGGCATGTCATCCAGTGGCCCCTCTTGGCTTGTGACTGTCTGCATGTGTGTCTTCTGTCCTCTCCTGGAATAGAAGGCAGGGACCTCTGAACACCTATCGGCTCACTAGATGTCTTTGCTTGGGTTCCCCAGAAACAGACCCTGAAAGAAAGATGTGAGTAGATACAGTTACTTGGTAACTGAAAAGTTCCACTAGGTGGAGTGGAGAAGTAGGGCTGGAAAGGGGAGGCCTCCCGCCGAAACAGGGTGTTACACAGCTTAGTACTGCAAGTTATGGGGAATTCTGAGAGCCAGTGAAACACCTCTCCCACTCCCAGTCAGACTCCCAGTCAGGTCTGAGGTAGGCTGAGGTGACTTGGCAGTGAAACATCAGCTCCAAGTGTCTCCATGTGTGATGGGGTAACTGCTTAGCCACACAGCCTCCTGGCCAGCAGATACAGGGGCCAGACGGGGCAGGCGGCAGGGTAGCCAGGGGCCAGTGGGCCCGGGAGGCTGCGATGAGTGCCTGAGACTGATGCTTTGTATTGGGGTGGCTTGTTAAATGTGGGAGAAGTAAAGTTGAGTCCCCTAATGTTCTCTGTTTTAGGTTTTAGTCTCAGTTCTTGGCAGCATGGGACAAGAGGGAGCCAGTGACTCACCCTTGGGAAGATTCCAGTGAAATGCTCAGTGTTGTCCCCAAGCCTTCCCCCTCCTTCCTCTAACTCCACTCTCCCTTGCTCTCCCCGCAGGTGTAAGGAGCTGAAATACTCCAAGGAGCTGCCCCAGATATCCATCATTTTTATCTTTGTGAACGAGGCCCTGTCCGTGATCCTGCGGTCAGTGCACAGTGCCGTCAACCACACGCCAACACACCTGCTGAAGGAGATCATCCTGGTGGACGACAACAGCGACGAAGGTATGGAGTGGCCGCCTGCATGCTCCAGGGGGCAGAGAAGGTGCCAGTGTACAGCGCAGCCTGGGGCAGCGCCAGATTCCAGCGTGACAGTGCCCTGGTCCTCACAGCAGAGCTGGGGAGTGGGAGAGGTTTTCCAGACAGACATCTTGGCCAACAATGGTCCTCCTGAGTCCTCCAGTATTCTTGAGAATAAGTGATTGATGATGCATCTATTGTTAGAAAACCCTCCCCCACTTTATGTTAGCTAAAGTAAAGGACCGGGAAGGGCTGACTCCCTCTGTGCTCCCCACCCCACACCCCATCGCCACTGTTTTTGTCTGAGACACAAATGAAAAGTGAAATGCTCTCCTGTGATGGAGGCTCTTCATCTTAATTCCGAATTCCCCTCTGGGCCACTGCACCCAAAATGACTGTAGTTAGAAATGAGCTGTGTTGGCCGGTCTCTTAGAATTTAGCTCTGCTAGGAATGATGGCTCCGTTGGAAAATATAAAATAAGCAAGTCTTCGTGTTGGCAATGACCAAGACTCTTGAGGTCCTTGGAGACAAAAGACAAGTGTTGAAGTGGGGGTGTAATTTGGTTTCGCTCATTGTGACTTTGTGTTGGCTCAGAGCCTATAGCATCCACCATGTCCCTGCAGGGAGAACCCCAGAAGCTGATGACAATAAAGACCACAGCCAGGGGCATGAGAAAGCCAGCGAGGCTGGTCTTCAGAGCAACTGAAGGGTTGGGGGTGGGAGTGGGTGCTAAGCCAGTTGCTCCTGGCCTGCTGAGTGGAGAAGGACTCCGGGTGCAGAGTCCTTGACTGCCTGACTACCTAGGGTGCCCCAGGATGAGCACAAGTCCCTCAACCCCATCAGAACTTGGTGTTTTGGAGTGAGGGGTATGAGCGCTCCCAAGCAGAACAATATGCCCATCGGCTCACGGCCACCATCACCTCTAGATTTTGAGGACCAGTGAGTTATTTGCTGGGTTCTTCTCATCCTTATTTTTCATCCTGTACCTTAAGCCACTTGATAGATCCTGAAACTGACACTGAGAGTGTGCTGTGAGGAGCTTCTCTCCAGTGCCCAAAGCCTCTGAGTCATCTGGCATCTCCACCGCCTAAGGTGGCTCAGGGTGCCCTCCTAAGGTGGCTCAGGGTGCCCTCGGCGCGTCCCCTCCATGCTGCAGCCCTCCCAGACCACTCCCTGCCCTCTGCAGGGAGTCCTTCACCTCACTCCCATCCATCTGCTGGCTCTGTCTCAGCTCAGACGCCCCCTCTGCGTCACTTCCTGGGAGAAGCCCAGGCTGGCATCCTAAGGCCATGCCCTCTGCTGCACCCCACCGTGCTTCCGCAGCACGGGACTAGCCCTGGCTGGCATGACTGGACTCGCATGCAGGGCGGACTTTGTTTCATGGGAAACGGAGTGATTGGTGAGGCCCGATGAGCTGGGAAGGGCAAGCAGACACCGGCAGCAAAGTGCCCAGATATGGGACAGATGTGAGCCAGCAAGCCCAGAGGAGGGCAGGCTCTTTGCTGGGCTGAACCGGGGTACACCCTCACTGTTGGGGGTGACTCCTCTCTCTAGGGAAATCTTACGGAGTCTAGCCAAGGGGGACAGAATAGAAGGCAAAGCTGGACTCAACCAAAGCACAAGCTCTGGGGGCAGAGGTCTTCACCGGGTGTCATAGTTTGAGTCCCTGTCCCCCAAACATACCTGAAACCACCACTCCAGCAGCCCCCGCGCCCCTCAGCCACAATTTACTTTCCAAATATCAGTCACCTGGGGTCAGCAGCATTCTGAAAATAATCGATGCACAATAAGCTATTTTGAGAGAAACACAGAGACCCATTCACATAACTTATCACAGCAGGTTCTTATAATTTTCTAATTTTAACACTTGTTATTGTTGCTAATCTCTTACTGAACTTAATTTATGAATCCAGCTCTACCCTAGCCATGCCTGTGTAGGGAAAAGCTTAGTCTGTGTTTGGGCTCAGATATCCACTGGGCACTGGGGTCTAGGACATATATCCTGAGGGCGGGTGGGGACTACTCCAGTTTCTCTGAAGATGAGTGCAACTAGGGGAGTGGGGAGTCAAACTGGGAAGGAGAGGGAACCCCAGAAGGGGAGCTATGCAGATTGCTACTGAGGGTGAAGGGAGCTTAATCTCACAGTGGGGGCGGGGGGCTGCGACAGCTAGACTCAAGAGCTGACAGAGCGGGGATGACCCCCCCCCCTTTAGCATCAGAACCTGAGGCCTGTCCACCTTATGGAGGGCTGGGATAGTGGGGTGATGGGGGCTTCTGAGGTGCTGCCCTGCTGACGGGCTCCCAGGTGGTGCTGATGCTGAGGGTACAGGATCCCACTTTGGGCAGCATCAAGCTAAGTAGCTTTCAGCGATTCACACTTCAGGTCTAATGAAGATGTATAGAGGTGGAGAGGGGAGAGGAGGAATTTCCGATTCACTTAACTGCGAAGTTAATTCTCTTCATTCTCCCAGGGCCCCTCCCTGTAGTAATGCAGGGACATTAATTCTGTTTCCTTCTTTTCTTTCCCCAACTCTAGACTATATTTTCTGCCCTTTTTAACTGGAAGAGGAATTTACTTTTTTTTTCTTTATTGAGAATTTCTTTGTGTCTAATACTACTGAGTTTATAAAGGTTCTATGTGGACTTGAAAGGACCCCCACACACTGTAATTGAATTCCTGCCAGACATCAATTTTCTGTATTTAGGTAGACTACGAGTTTATTTTCTGAAGTCTTTTGCATGATGGTGCTTTAAAATCTCCTCCCATGATTATCAGTCCCGTGTTCCTAGTAACATTTGAGTTGTGTACCTTGTTGTCAGTTTCTCTGGCAACTGTGGATTTGTGTCTGCGATTGTTGCCATTATGTAATGTTTCCTTTATCTTAAAAGCAGGCATTTTTTTCCTTGTCTTGAACCTAACATTAATATCATTACTCTGGCTTACCTTCTGTTAGAGTCTGATTAAAACATGTTTTCCAGCCTTCCTATTTTTTCTGATCTTAACAGTAATGCATACACTTTGCAGGAAAATATCAGAAAGCACATATAATTGGAAAAACACATCCTGACGAATCTCACGAGAAGTAACTGCTCGTTCACCTAATCTCACTCTTTTTTAATGCTTGTTTTATATAGTTAAGATCATATAGTAAAAACAAGTTAATGTTCTTCCATTTTTCCCCCTAAACGGTGAAGCGTAACATTTTCCTTTGCAAACATCATTTTAATGAGGGTAGATTGTCTATTCTCGGGCTGGTCAAGACTCACTGCCCTCACCTCTATATGTTAACATGTACATTACAGAAGAAAGGGATTTGTTTCCATAAAAGAAAAAGGCTGCTGCAACCAGAGCGTGAACAAAGCTGGGTGAGTCTGGGTCTGTGTGCACAGTGAGCCTGGCACTCTCCTCTCCTTGTTTTTATTTAGTTCAAAGAAATTTGGTTTGTTCAACTTGAATACTGACATTGGCTTAAGTTAATTCCAAGTAAGATGCGGTCCTTCGCACTCTGCGCATTACACTGAAATCACTCAGGCCGAATTTGCCGGTAGTCACTGCTCTCCAAGCCCAGCGGGCACTTTGCCGCTCCAGTGGGCTCACGCCCAGCGTGGCGGGTGGTTTTCTCCCTGGCTTTCCCTTCTCCTGATAACCCTGTGCCACTCGCTTCCACTATCCCTATAAACTTCTCCCCCCTTGGTTCTCTGCTTCTGCCAGCTCACTTGTGATTTCCCCCATCAGGACCAACAGGATGGGGTATCCACTGTGCACATCCCCATGATCTGATGATCCCCAAGTCATACCTGCAGCAGACGAATCCCTCAGGTCTCCCTGAGTTCCATCCCTGTGCCCTGTCTCCAAGGGTCTACACATGCACATCTTTAAAAACACATGTACACCTCAGGCCAATGACTAACTTGCCAGCATCCATTTGGCCTTAGAAATTTGTTTATTTCTAAGCATATTTATTTATTTATTTATACAAAAACTAAGGTACAGGCTAGGGTGTGGGGGATGATAGAATTCACCAAAGACAGAATGGGGATAAGAACAGGAGGATTGACTGAAATATACTGCTAAAGGGAGCAGCGGGTGAGACAGGAGAGTCTGCTGCTCCATGTGGGTCAGCCCCCTGGCCTGGGATAGAACTCGTGCTGCAGTGGCTGCCAGTAACTTCGTAGTGTTGTGCTTTAGCCCCTTGTACCACCAGGGAGGGCCTACAAATTTGTTTATATTTTCTAACTCAGTAAAGAGCTTCACCTATCACTGCATTATCTCATCATTACAGACCGGAAGTCACTTTGCCCTCCTCCGCCCCCCTTCCCCCCCAACATCGGTTTCCTACTGCATCTTCAGTGTGACCTCACTTTCCATATCTTGAGCCTCTGGTCTTTGCTTATGCCCTCAGCACTTCTTACATTTATCTTTGCTTGAGGGGTGCAGGATGGGGGAGTTTAAGATTACATGGATCATAATGCCTTACATAGGCCATCATTGGTTCATGCATGGTCATTTTTTGATTTTCTCTTATTTTTAATTGAGCTCTAATTCACATAACATAAAATGCATCATTATGAAATGCCCAGTTGAGTGACTTTCAGTAGATTCACAATGTTTTGCAACAATTCAGGATGTTTCTATCATTTGCAGAAGAAATCCTGGACCTGTTAGCTGTTACCCCCAACCTCTTAGACAACCAACAGTGTCATTTCTGGCTATGACTTTGTCTACTATGGACATGTGATATAAATGAAACTACAATGCATGATCTCTTGTGCCTACTCTCTTTCACTTCACAGTGTTTTCCATCGTCATCCATGTAAAACACTTCTTTCCTATTAATGACTACATAATATTTTTTGTACAGATATCGTACCATTTAAAATCTGATATCAGTTGATATATTTCTGGGATAATCCTACTTTTTGACTACTGAGAATAATACTGCTATAAACATTCATGCATAAATGTTGGTGTGGACACATTTTC